GCTTAAAACATTAGAAAAACTGAAAAAGTCTTCAGTCACAGATCCACTTCAGGGGTTTAACACCATGGGAAGAGGGAAGAAGGCTGAAACCATTTCTGTTTTGCTCAGAAGATATTTGAGGTTGATTTAATAGTAAAAGGACAAAAAGTGCAGTTGTCATGCACTGCTATCTTTCACTTTAATGAGCCCTCAAATGTAAGTGAAAAATTAAAAGGTTGTTATATTTAGAAATAGCTGGAGTCATAGACTGGATGTGTGCTGCACACAGTGGGGAATGAGCATAAAAAATGAGGGGGGAAAACCCATCTACTTTGCAGCCATATTCATTAATTAAAAGAAGTTTGTTAAACTAAATTTGAAGAAAAAAATAATAAAAAAAAATCAACAGCAACAACAAAAAACCCACCCTTCTTTAATTGTGTTTACCCAAAAGCCTTTTCTTCCTAATTTAAATAGCATAAACATCTGGACTAAAGCAATATTAGAATCATGGCAGTAGTCAAGCAAATCTTGTGGAAAATAATGAAATTAGATCCCTGGTGTTGTGACAGAGTAAGGGCAGGATACATCAGTTCGATGTTAATAAAATTTCCATGAATGACTGAATACAATTAAGAAATTGTCAGTTGCGGCAATGAACTTTTGTAGCTCATAGATGTTTGCATCATTTGATTATGCTGGCAATTTAAAATTGTTTGTTAGTGTCTGTGTTGGGATATTAATTATGACCTTTATTACAGCCCACAATTAAACTAGTCATATAGCAACAAGCAGCCTGTGTTGTGATAGTAAAGGATCTGAACTGTTTAGAATAGGGTCTTGCTATGTTCAGACCATTCACTGATCATCCAAATTGGAAATTATTTGAAATGATCCAGTACTTTAAAAAACAATTCAACTGGGTTGAGTAATCTCTTCAATAAAGAAATTTTGGTTTAATAGTGTTTTAACAGTTTTAATTGCTAACAACATCTGTAAAACTGTTTTAAAAAGGGGAGAGAGAAAGCATTTTTAACTGTGACTCCAAGATAAGCTTTCTCCTGTTTCAGGAAGAGAAAACAATTATTCATTGGTTAATTAGCTGTAAACAACTTTTTAAAGACACATCCATTATATATGTAATTATTTGAAAAAAGCTTTAATGTTATTTGTGCTAATGCATAATTATTAGTGCTTGCTAAAAGGATTAGCAGTATTTAGATGACCACTATTGTTGGGAAATATCACAGCGGAGAGAGGAGATTAGCATCAGGAAGGCATGTGCAGCGATGAATCAAGTGCCTGCTTGCACCCCTTTAGCAGTGACAATGAACAAATCACACGTGCAGAAACAAAGCGTTCCGAACTGAAACCACACACTTTCTCGTCTTTAATATTTTCTTCATGTATCACAGAAATATATCATCGCCAGAGTATTTCTGTACCCAGTGGAATACATAGTTCCTGTGATTTTTTTCTTAAACTCCCAGTGGCATTTTTGTCAGGTTTTTTTAGAAGTGCGTAGTACCTTTATTACTGCAGAGCGGAGTGGCAACTTTACAATGCCCTCAGTACATCCATTTAGTAACTATTATGCATAATTTACTAAGAAGATGTTAAGTCATACTGAAATCTATTTAGGCTTCTGTAATGTGTTGACTGGAGCGCTGTTTACAGTCATTAGCATATGAATGAAAGGGATAATATTTTAAACATTTAAATATTTTTAATATAGGTCAAAGGAAACTGTTCCAGTAGTCCTAACACGTTGCAGATTACTAACAAGACATCATGGAAACATGCCTGAAATGTGTGTTGCTTCATGTATGTGTTTATCAAAAAAAGGTCTGAGGGAAAATGCTAAATTTGCTCAGGAAGAGGCACTTCAGGGCCCCATCAGTAAGAACTTCAGCATCTGAGTGACCCGATTCCAACACCAGTTGTGTTTAAATTGCTACCTTGGCCATAGCTAACAAAGTCATTCACGTTAAACAGAGACTGATCTTTAATGTGCCAAGTCCCTGAGTTTTTGCGGAGTTTTTCAGAGCTGTTTGTGTAAGTGGCTGGCCAGCGAAGCGTGATAAATGGCATAACAGGAGCACGACGGGTCCCCCTGCAATGTCCACAAGTGTGCCTTCACCCTGACCTGGAGGATCAACCTGAGCAGTGGGAGAATTGTTCAGCCTCCACGAATTTGGCTGCTTTTCAGATGCTGCCAGTAGTGATGCTAATTGCTGGCATTTGTGGTGGTCGGTTTTGCGATGCAGCCACCTGTACCGTGTCAGGATTTCTGATCTTTTGAACAAGAAAGCACCTCTAAATTTTCTTTGATGAAACTGGGAGGATCGGTGTTTGACAGCTCGGAAGGAATACCATGGGTGATTTTAGCATTTCAGTTCATTGGATATTTTTAATTCTCTGAAGTATATTAAGGAGAAATTGTGCACTTTCATTTGTCACATTTCTTTAAAGCGATTGTTATGCAGAAGTATATGAGGGATGGATTTTTTTTTTATATAACAGTTTTACTTGTCAAAGAAATCATTGTAGTTTAAGGGATTTGTGTATTTAAGCATAGATGATTATTTAGAAGGCTTGGTTGCTGCAAATCGGAAGCCTTGTAGCTCAATTTGCTAATTTATTTTGTGATCTGTAACTAAACTGAGTAAAAATGCAAATAGCACCAGCCCTTTACATTTTATCGCTGGATCAGTTTACTGATGGGAGGATCAGAGTCACTAAACAGTTCAACGCCTGTGATTTCTAAGTAGTTAGACTCTAAAAGCATGTACAGTGAAGGCTGCAGGAAAGCTCACGTGAACAGAGGCTTTAATGGAATTCAGCATTTATTTGTTTCAGACTTGGAATGCAGAAGCCAGACTTTATTGTCCATTGTGAGGATGATATTTTGTCTCCCATCACATGTGGCAATGAGCCATCATCTCATGTTGCAGCATGCTCATGTGCTAGGGGGAAACAACTGGTAAAGCTAGAAAGAAATGCTGCAAGCCTACAGGGGTGTTAGCACTTCCTTTGGATTACACCTCTTTTTAGTTTCCACCAAATACTGTATTCTGAGAGCACTGATAAAATTGTGATCTGTCATTTTTATTTTTAGTTGATGTTCCCTCATGTATTTAATTAGTTTGTTTTGTTTGTTTGTTTAGAAGTATCATAGCTGTACAATGCTATTTAATTGCGAGCCGATCTTACCATTGAAGTCAGCACCATGTTGGAGTAGGACATGATCCTTCTGGTGATGCTGGAGGAAGCTGAGCTCCTCTCTCCTGAAGGAACAGGTCTGCTCTTACCTATTTTTGCAGATCCAGCAGAGGGAGCAGAAGTCCACCAATGGGGTTTCTTTGGACTAAACATTTGGGGTGGCAGATGGGTTGGCAAAAATTGCTTGTGGAGGTGGGGAACTGCATGAATCATTCCCCCCCATATTCTAAGAAAATTGTTCAATTAAAACACTAAGATCGCTCTGTAATTCAGTAATTTTTCATGTCCTGGAATTTCATTTTTTCTTTAAATTCTCCATGAGTTGGTACTACGTGATAACAGTTGATAAAACTATTCACAGCGCTGACACAAGTGTAGTGATCCCAATTAGCCATCAGGTAGCATTTTCAGTAAGGAGTTATTTCCAGCCATGTCCTTGCACATCAGCTCCCCACAAAGCCTTTTTCTACATTTGTAAACACACATCGGAAGAGGTGGCTGCAAGTGTTTGTGAGTGTGCCACACACAAGCATCAGCTTTTATTTTGTCTCTGTCATACTGCTTTGTGCAACTGGTTTTGTAGTCCTTCAGTCGATCTTCAACAGAACATAATGTAAGGGGGGCAAATTTTTATTGAGACTATAAGATATTGCCTCCTTTCATTTTTTATTTTTATTTTTAGATTAGCTGTAGTGTATCCAATCAATACAAATCTGTTATTAGTTATTGTTGTTACTTCTATGCTAACAGGTAACGTTATGCCAGCAACTGGTGCCCTGAGTGCATATGAATGCATGATGTGAAATCCTTCAGAATGTCCTGATTTCAGTATAAGCTGTGCAGAATCATGTCTGGCTGGGCAGAATCACAGCCTCAAAAAAAACTTGTCCCAAGATAACCAGGAAACAAGGAAAAATTCTTCTCAGCTGCACTGCTGCGGTGTGAGGATTCACCAGAACCCCAAACCAGCCAGAGTGTATTTGCTGGTTTGGATTCTGTCCTGTGTTTGCTCTTTCACTTTGTCTTGAATCACACTGAGGTACTGGCTTGTTGTTTCTATTGGGAATTCAGGCTCAGTTACAGATGAGTTGATATCCAAAAAAGTCACTCGTGTTTCTCAAGAAAGGTCAGCCCAAAGTTCAGGGTCATCAGACAAGAAATACGTACACAAACACAATACCACAATCTGAGACTCTCGTGTTAGCTGTATGCATGGCCTTATGTATGCCCACATGCATGGAACTCGAGTTATCAGATGGTAAATCTACACAAACGACTTCCTGATCTGCTCACCAAGGCTGCCGTATGTGAATACTTTCAGGATATCTATTTTTTAGAGAAGCAGCACGATGACTTTGAATCTCACAAACTAAAACTCAGAGAACTCGTGAATCTCATGGACTAAGACTTTTACGAATGTTAAATGAAACTATATTTAGGGTTCTTTACTTTTTGTTGGCCAGACCTAAAGAATGTGTATCAATCATGCTTTCATTTTTTCCTCTGGAACTATGAGGACTGGAAATTCACTTCTTACGTGACAACAAACAAATAAAAAACCAACACCACCAAACTTTACCAAAACTAACTATTTTTAGAAGATGATTATCCATACTTGGCTACCTTTTGTTCACAAGCAGATGTCTGGGCATAAACCTGGCTCCTTATACAGGGATGTCTAGAAATACCTTATTTCCTGCCTCACAGCAGAAAGCATTTTCTGAAGATAATTGAGCTTGCTGATCCTATGAGCTAAAAACCTTCCTATGGGCCAAAACTGTATCTACCTCCCACGCCAT